TTGTCATGACAAAATGTTAAAGCGAAATAAATACCATATTCGGAATCAGTATCAAAAACTGTATCTAATTATATACTTTTCAGGGAAAATGTTTCTTGTCCAAAACTAGCATACGATCTTCCACAGTTATATTGAAGAGAAATTTTTCTTTCTGGCCTCTTACAGACCAGTTTTGGACAAGAAAAGACAATTATGCAAAGATATCACCCGACAGCTTACAATTGAACGCCTCTAAGTTGAAATCCGACCTAGATTCAATGATTTTTTGACATAGTGCTTGTCATCAGCATATTTATATATGTCTAAACTGTTGATCAAGTGGGCATATGAATGAAGTTATGATGTCGTTGGTTCGTCATAATCGAAATGAGATTGTGATTGCACCGATATATTTTTAGTTGAAATACCACTAATGGCTAGGATCAATTGTAAAGGATTTTCTTCAATAACAGAGTAACGTACACATGAGAGCAACTACCGCATTACGATTAGCTGAGTTTTTACTCGATGTTACGTTGATTTGATAGGCTTCAGTTCTGTACGACATTTATATTTATCATCGTTTTCCTTTCATCTTATGTCTTCCTTATGATATTAGCTTCTTTATTGTATTCAAAAAAACAATAAACTAAAAGCAAATATTTATCTTTTTTTCTTCTTTCATTTGTTTTACATCTACTTTCTTCTTAGTTGCACATACATGTAGAAAACATAGAAATGATAGTACAATATAATATGTAAAACGATTGACGGCAAACCATATCAAGACGTTTCTTTTTTTTGGCTTTATAAACACTTTTTATTATTAGTATTATCAACAGCAAAACTGATGCTGATTCGATAGACTTCAGTTCTATAAACGACATTTGTAATTCACATTAGATTTCATTTTGATTATATTTATTATACTTCTTTATTCAAGAAAAAGAAAGCGCATTCTAAGAATTTATATTAATGCTTCATTTTAATACAATTTAACATTCAAATAAATTTCTTCATATTTAACTGGATCAAACTTTTCTTGTTCATCATTGCAAGAGAACAAACATATACATATGCGTGATAAACGATAGCAAGATCAATAAGAGAAAATATTTCTTTGTAATATTATTATATTCTAATTTGTTCGTGTTATTACTATTGTTTATCATATTTTAATTTAGAACAGGATACAGAGAAGATTAATATTCAACATAGACCATAAAAGAATATCTTGTGCGCTAATCAAAATACATTATAAGTTTTATTCATATGAATGCACGTAAGTAGACATTATGTTGCTCACATATATCTTGTCTGATCTTCAAAATATTGCTGAATTTTGACTTATTATTTACTTGTATTCATAAAACTTTCTATAAATTATTCAACATCTTCCTATTAACAAATCGATTAATTCAATAACCAAAACGTTTCACAGATAATAATTTCGAATGTATAGAGTTTCTTCATTATTGTTCAAAATAAAATATTTTATAATAAACATATTACAATAATATCTTGAAACAACAAATTGATTCATGATATATATGATAAGTAAAATAAATACAATTCAATAAGCAAATAAATAAATAAATTTATTTATTTATTTACAAATCCTGAAAAATATATGATTAATAAAAATAAAAAATAAAAACTACAATATTAGACTTTTCTTACATTAACTAATATGATCATTTGTTATTATTGAAAAAACAAGTCCAATATTCAAACAACATGGAAATGAAATACAAGTTAAATTCGATATCCATTTAAAATAATAAAAATTGATCAACATAATTGTGAACAATAAGTCAAGATTCGTTGTTAAGATATATCATCATTGTTCGAATTACATCATTGACTCCAAAACAAATAGGGCAAAAGAAAAAAAAATATCCGCAATTAAAAAGTGACGACAACAAATGAATGAAATAGTTGAATGATAAAATGTTAATCAGTACAATTTGATTCATTAGGCTATTATTGATTTTATCCATCGATGAAAACGAAAGAATTTTAAAATAAAATTGAATGACATCTATAAAAATAGATAAAAAATTATTTGATACGTAAAATCAATGTGTGATAAGTTTAAAACATAATCTGAAAAAACAATAGTAACTATTTATTTCATGAGAAGAAAAAAAATAATTCCATCATTTTCATAAAACAGATCTGCATAGATAATCAAATATTCAATTTCATATAAAATAGAAGTAAAAAAAAACCTATTTCTCTTATGAAAAATGAATGAACAAAATATTTTACTTAACGTCATATATAACTGGTACTGCTTTTCGTTACGATGCGGTTGACCCTCGCGATCGGATCTTCAACTCTTTCTATATAATATACGACTATAAACTGTAATCCATAAGAATGTGAAATGTATGCATGAAGATCGGTGTCAACGTAGGCGTGAATATGATTATGAGTATTGATGTGAGTGCAAATCTTGGCATGTCTACTGATGTCGGTATTGGTGTTCGTGCGGTGATTCTCTTCACCTATTCAACCAATAACACTCCTATTTACACTCAAATCTTCCCGTCACACTTATCCATCACACGCATGTCATCCGACAAGCATACATTCAATTACATCCTAACGAATACTAAGCATTCATTACCATATCCACGGCCATGATCTGCCTACTCTCGAGTAAGATAGCATGGCTTTTGTAGTATAAATATTGGTTTTAATTATTGGATTCTTTCTACTTTTGTACTTTTTCCTCGTTCTCTTTAAGCCGAAATACTTCATTTTAAGAAAGTTTTCGTTTGTATAATGTCTCTTGAATTGCATCAACGATATGAGAACATATTTCTGGCAAAACATAAATTAAGGTGTGAATGGATGTATATGAAGAAAGCAAAAACACTCATATCTGCATCCTTAAGCTTAGATCTTGATTTGGGAGCTTGTCTGTCATACTTTTTCTAAGTTTTCAACAAAATCATTTGGATGTAGGTGTGGATGAACAGAAGACGCTTATCCACACTCAAGTCACACTTTCAAGCTAATAGCTTTTAGTATAGATGAGAAAAGTGTAACAACATTATCATGCATTATTTTATCAATTTTTAAATTAACTGAAGAAGAAAATGCAATATAGCAATGCTGGTACTGGAACAAATAGTGATTCCAGAATCTTTTTATGAAGCACATGCCAAAAGAAAACATTTTTCCTTCGCGAACATTATTTCTATTTCTCTGTATGTCAATAGAAGAAATATAAAGGTTAGCAACAGATAGAAAAGGAAGCTAAACAATCATATGATTAAGGAAATGTAATTTTTCAAAATTATCAAGATTCTAGATAAAGAATGCCTGTAGGTTGAATTCCGTCAGATTTATTTTTATTAATAGAATCAAATCAGAAAATTCTACTGCACAATTAGCCTATAGAATACATATAGAGTGAATTGAAACAAAAATTATACGAGCGGTAGTACTATAACATTGTGACAATTGAAAAAAAAATTATATTAAAACAGCTTAGAACAAATTTAGTATTTTTTCATATCAAAGAATGATAGATTAATAGCAGTTCAACAACTTTGCTTTTGTCAAATACAAAAACCATAAGTTTTAAAATCATTTCAGAACTTCTGAAACCCAATCCATATATATGTTCATGAAAGAAATAGCACATGTAATAGTATATCTTTTGTCTTCTTATTCGATACAAACAATCGAATTCATTAAAAATGTATAATTTCGTTGTTTCGAATCTTTTCCTATCTGTTTTAACTGTGAATTAACAAAGAAAGACTAAAAACAATAAATACTAGAGACGTGTTAATATTTTCACAAACATGCTATATGTATCTATAACATAACTATTTATACAGGCTTCCTAAATTTTCAATAATATTTTGATGTATTTCTTTGATTATGATTTTTTTTTCATTTGAAATTGATTAAAAATAAGAAAAAGACTTGCTGTTTTCCTGTTGAAACTAAATCCATATTATACCCTCAACTGAGAATGTAGACATACACATTTCTGATGACATCTTCCGAAAAATTTATTTGTTGGTAGTTAGTTGTTGCTGATCGTTTACCATTTACATTACCTTGAGATGTTACGATCATTTATAAATACGTTGTCAAGTAATAACTGTTCTCTTGTCATTTTCAAATAAATAATCTTTCGTAATGTCCTTGGACAGAAAAAGAATTCATTGCTTGTCGCGTCATTTTCTTCTTTTTTGATAAAATACATATGTGTCCTGTATTTCTAGGTACGTGTCATAAATAATTGCATAGACATATTTCAACCAATGGATTTTGAAGTTGACCCTCTTATTGTACAAATTGCTCGTAAAGAAAAAAAAGAAACATTTGGTCTAATAATTTGTGCATTATTTCATCAACCAAAACCAATTCAATTTGCTAATTTTTATCATCAATTAATTGGACAATTAGAAGCAAATTTTACTGAAGACGAAAAACAATCAACTTATCTTTATCCAATAGCTCATTTACATATTACAATTTCAACATTATATAGTTTTAAAGAGGAATATCCTCAATCTTCTGAAAAATGTTTAAAATATTGGAAACAATGTTTTTTAAAATTAAAAGAAACTTCAAAAACAAAATCAATTATTCTTACACTTGATTCAATTCATCTTTCCAAAGCTGCTGGTTATTTTCAATATAAAGATGAAAATAACGGTATGGAACATCTTCGTCATTTAATTCGTGATATTTGTATACCAAAAGATGGACAACCATCATTAAATATACCAAGTATTGTTCATACATCATTTATGCGATTTATAAAAAAACCAAATGATCCAATAAAATTTGAAGAAAAATTTCATCGTATTTGTAAGGACTTGTTAGAAAAAACAAATGAAATTCGTTTTGATATTGATGAAATTTGTTTAGCATTTGAAGGTCGACCTTATATGCATATTGATTGTGATGAATATCATATACTTGATACAATGAAATGCTAAATTTTAATTTTAGATTTCTTTATTTTTTCAAATAATTATAGATCGGCTATGACGTCAAACAATAGTGATGGAATGCCGATTCATACAGGTAGATTTTTTTATTATTGTTATTATTATGAGCATAAAAAGTTTTGTTTTTGTTTCTAGATAATGAAATGAATGGTTTTAGTGATGATAATTCAACATTCCGCATTTGTTGCATTGGTATGTATTTCTAATCATTCGAATAAAATTAGAAGTTCTTTTTTTTTCTTCTTATTAGGTGCTGGTTATGTTGGAGGTCCAACTTGTGCTATAATAGCTAGTAAATGTCCGAAAATAAAAGTAACTGTTGTTGATGTAAGTGCTGATAGAATAGCTGCTTGGAACTCCGATCATTTACCATTGTTTGAAGTTAGTTAAATGTTTTATTAATTGATTGAAGAATAAAAAATAAACGAATAAGTTTTATTTTTTAGCCAGGATTAGAAGAAATTATTGAAAAAATTCGTAATCGTAATTTATTTTTTTCAACTGATACAAAAAAAGCTATTCAAGAAGCTGATTTAATTTTTATTAGTGTTAATACACCAACGAAATCTTATGGTTTTGGTAATGTAAGTTGAATATTGACTTTCTTGATTATTTATCAAAATGAAAGATTTCAACCCAAAACAAACCAATGTTATCATATGTAAATGTCAGATTGCAAAGATGTAACATGATGAATATGTTTTCTAATGGACTCTAAAAAAGTCATTAGTAATCTTCATAGTGTATTAAAGTGTAAAACATTAGTTCTTTTATTTTTATTTTTTGTCATGTAGAATAATTAAAGATCTTTAGATAAATTTATTAGGAAAGCAAATCTCGAGAGAATTGTTCGTAAAAAGGAATCATTCACAAGAGAATCGAAATAAGAAATTAGATCATTTTATTTCTATGTCATTCAATGATTAGGGTCGAGCACCAGATCTACGCTATGTAGAAGAAGCCGCTCGACAAATAGCTCATACAGCAACAACTAATAAAATAATTGTTGAAAAATCCACTGTACCAGTAAATGCAGCTGAATCAATAAAAACAATATTAAAAACAAATAAACAACCTGGTGTTAGTTATCAAGTTCTTTCCAATCCAGAATTTTTAGCTGAAGGTTCAGCTATAAGTGATCTATTAGCACCTGATCGAGTTTTAATTGGTGGTGATGAATCAGTTGAAGGTTCATTAGCTATTAAAAAACTTTCATGGATTTATGAACATTGGGTACCAAAAGAAAGAATTCTTACAACGAATACATGGTCATCAGAATTATCGAAATTAGTCAGTTATTTTCATTTTTGATTGATAATAATTTAATATTTTGTTTTTTTTTGTTTAGGTAGCTAATGCATTTTTAGCTCAACGTATTTCAAGTATAAATACAATTTCAGCTGTTTGTGAAGCAACAGGTGCATCAGTTAGTGAAGTAGCTAAAGCTGTTGGCCTTGATTCACGTATTGGATGTAAATTTTTAAATGCTAGTGTTGGTAAATAAATAAATGTATTGAAAACAGAAACAAAAATTGATTTTTTTTGTCATTATTTAAATTGCATAGGTTTTGGTGGTAGTTGTTTTCAAAAAGATGTTTATAACTTAATTTATTTAGCTGAATCATTAAAACTTGAACCAGTTGCACAATATTGGTTACAAGTGATTAAAATAAATGATTGGCAACGTGAACGTTTTGCACAAATGATTGTTCACAATTTATTTGGAAGTGTTAGTGGAAAAAAAATAGCTATATATGGTTTTGCTTTTAAAAAAGATACAGCTGATACACGGTATAGTATTTTCTATAAAATAAAGATGTTTATTTTTTTCTTATAATATTTTCTTTTAGAGAATCATCGAGTATTTATGTATGTCGATATTTATTAGCTGAAGGTGCATCATTACATATTTATGATCCAAAAGTATCAGTTCAAAGAATTTTTCTTGATTTATCTGAACAAACTGGCAAAACAGAAACTGATTGTAAGATGAATAAATAGAATCAATAGATATTTATCTTAGTTATTCAAAAATTGTTAGATTATATAAGATGATTTGAAAAGGAAATTCATAATACTGAGTCTATCTATCGACGCTAATCTATGTTGCTCGAGAGAAAGATTATTACTGTGAATATTTATTGTTCTTTGAATGCAAAATGTTCATTATGTTGATTCATGAATTTTGAAGATTGTTACACGAACACATCAGAGTACTGTACGAATAGATATATGCTAATGAGAGAACCATCTGAACTGATACTTGCCGTTTGAGATTATATTACACTTATAAGGATGTTTTGGTGAGACTAGTAAAAATATAATTTTGATCAGCAATTTCGTTTATAGATACACCTAATTAGCCGATTGAAATTTTCAGGATATTTATTTTACTGGTCATTCTAATTACTTATAGGTAAAGTTTCATATCGAAATACTAGTTTTTGATTTTTCGATATATGCCTTATACTGGATCGGAAATTTAGTAAAATAGTTATAACTCGACTTTGAAAACTCATGGAGATAAACCCTTTGAGATTTCAGCTAGTCTAAGAAAGACTTATTTGTAGACCTAATAATAAGTTCAAACGATGGGTATCAGTTCGGATGGTTTTCTCATAAGTTACTAGCAGTGGATTAAAAGGATGAGGATAAAAGTTCAGTCGTCTTGATCATAGCTTTTTTTTTGTATTAATTTAAAATGTAACTGTAAAAAAAACTGCATCTCTATATAAATACTAGCCATAGACAACAGTTCTAGACTTATGCAAATTTGGATAATAAGCCATCCTATATGAATAGTTATTAATAATCAAACCACGTCGGGCTCATTTTTTTTTGTTTTGAGGTAAATGACTTTTCTTTTTATTAGATTTTTGTTTTCGAAGTTGAAATTATCATTAGACTTATGAAGCAAACTTGATTTTTCCTAATCGATTTTGTTTGATTTTCAGTACGTAATCATGTTCAAATAGCCAATGATGCATATGAAGCAGCTAAAGATTCTCATGCTCTTGTTATTTGTACTGAATGGGATGAATTTAAAGTAACTAATAATTTAATTTTCTTTTTCTTTTTCGTAAATACAAAATCATTATTTTTTTATTTAATTATCTAGCAATTAGATTATCAATTGATTTATAGTACTATGAAAAAACCTTCATTTATATTTGATGGTCGTCTTATACTTGATCATGATCAACTAATCAGTCTTGGTTTTAATGTATTTTGTATTGGACAAAAACCACCAATAAATAAATATCTTAATCAAAGTCCTAGATAAAAAGAAACAGTGTGATGCATTCGATTATGTTCCTTTTCAATCGAATTTATACATGACTCCAAATCTCAGTAATACTGAAATATTTTTGATCGATCTGTAAACACAAAAAAAAATGCGAAGCACCATTGTGATTTGAATATTTCGTAGGTGTTTTTTTTTCTATTATTCATATTTATATTGAAAGTTTTTGTTTTTCCGAGTACATTTAACTTTGTTTTTTTTTTCTCTCGTGCGTTTATCTTATCATATAATACACTATATATATATTGAATCTTTTTCTTTTTGAATGATCTTTCTTGATAAAAATAAAGATGAATGTTTTCTTTTGTTTTTTGTTATGAGTATTTATCATTGTCAATTTATTTCCTTTTTTTTAAAGATTATAATATAAATTATATGAAAAATGAGTGGTACAAGAAAAAAACCATTCAGTTCAAAAAAGAAAAAAGAACAATTGAAATTAAAACGAGAAAAAATTCGAGCTCAAGGTAATTTTATTTTATTTTATGAAAATATTATTGTTTCTTTTTGTTTTTTATTACATAGGGGATAAATGGGCAGATTCTGATGATGAATCAGCTACAATAGATATAAATAGTTCGCATAATTCTCGTCGTCGAATAAATGAACAACCTGTTCGAGATGGTATGGCATATAACCCTAATCGGTAAGATGACCTCTTGATCATATAGAAACATTTGTTTTTCCGTACATCAGTCTCTCTCTATTTCGAATAATCTTACCGTTCGATAATTGAATGACTGTTTATCAATTACTAGAAAAATAATGAGAATCTTAATAGAAATCAATACCGTTACGACAGTTACTTTTTTTCCTAATATAAATTCTAAGTGACATAGCCTTTTTGTGTAGTACTAATGTACGCAGATGTTAACATCTGGCGAAAGAAAACAGCAAATGTTATAATTAATGACATATAGAGTAAGCCATTAGAACAGATCTACTCGAATGAACATGCATTGTTTTCTTTTTGACAAAATAATTATGTAAAAGTCAATTCTGTTTTCATACAAATTAAAAGATCATTGAATTACATACGAGAAAAAAAATGAAACAATGTTGTTTTAGCGATTCGAGAAAATTCTATTCGAAATTGTTTCTTGCACATAAAAATATTGACTTCAAAATTTCTCATATATTCTTTCTTTATATTCAGATACACTAGCCATCAAAAGTCTTCTTACCAGATATAAAGGACCTAAACGTGAATCCTTTGGTCGTCTCATATATTTGGTGAGCGTTGCTAAAAAAATCTCACCGCGTTTGCCCGTTCATTCGAGAGCTCAGTGCTATGACAATGTCACTGTGTCTCAGCATAACAGCAGATTGAAGTCTTCTATCTGTGACATGTAAAGCTTTATTTATAAATCAAAAGATGGATATTAACGCTTCAAAATAATAACACATAAGGAAAGTGTCAAAAAAGAAATAAACATTTGTTTTATTTTTCTATATCCAATGCTTCGGTACTTTCGACCAGGGTTTACTGACCTCCTGGCGACTAATGTAGATCATTAAAAAAAATTGTCGTACATACTTTTTTTTTTTATATTTCAAAGAATTTTCGATTTTTATTTTTGATGATTAGATATCGTCTTCATTTTCAACGTGAATCTCGTGATGAAATTGATCGACGAAAAAAACTTGCTCAATTACCTATTGAAAAATTACCTGAAGAATCGTTAGAAATTCCTATTGAGCAAATCTATCGACCAGGAAGTGCTCTTGATATGCCTATACGACCAGCATGGACATATAGTATGACTAAAGAACAATTAGAAGAACAAGAACAAACTTATTTCAATGTAAAACTATTTCTATAAAAAAAAAAAAAGTAGATTCATTAATAAAATTAATTTTTAGAATTATTTGGAAAAAATTTTTGCAAATTTTGAAGCTAATGATTTAAGTTATTTTGAAATGAATCTTGAAACATGGAGACAATTATGGCGAACAGTAGAAATTTGTGATATTATTCTTATGATTGTTGATATACGTTTTTCTGTAAGCTGCTATTTTATTTTTGATTCTATAGTACTATTCAAAACTATCAGACCAACAATTTTTTGTTTTTTTTTTCTACGATATCAAGTATTTAACTTAAATCCATTTCATACCAAAATTTCATAGATGGACTACGAGAAAACATTTTTGAAGAATTCAAAAGTCATAAGCATAATAAAAAAAACAAAAAAATGCATCTTACGAAGAAAGTTCGTCAACTGGTTATTTTATTTGGAGTCTGAATTATGTGTATCATGTAGACCATAATGAGCTATTAATACCCTGAAAAGAATTTAGATCATTAGCTTATTACTGTTGTCGACTTAAAACTTTACATAGAAACAGATCTTAGTGAGAATATTCATTCTCGGTGAGTCCGGTCTCTATGGAACGTTCTCAATATGCAGTAGCTCAGTAGCAATAAGCTAATGGCCTGAACTCTTTTCATGGTATTGATAGTTTAGTAGGGTCTACATAGTGCACATATTTTGAACTCGAAAGTGAGTAATCAGTTGTGAGACTTCCTTTCGTAAGACACCTTTGAAAAGGTTATAGAAAATATGACAATCTCTTCTTTTGTTTAGAATTAATAGACACTTTCCTCTCATAGTCCTAAATGTTACATGTCATAGAAAAAAAAATAAAAAACACGTTGATCGTATGTTTTTTTGACTAGTACTGTATATTTCAACATTATTTTTGTTTCTATAAAGGTTCTTCACTTTTCTCCAACTCTTTACGATTATATTACACGTATTGATAATAAACAATTAATCGTGGTATTAAATAAAATTGATCTTGTACCTCCATCACTTGTTATTGGCGTAAAAGATTATTTTACTAAAAGATTTCCACAATTACATATTCTTACATATACATCATATCCAAAAGATTTACCAACAACACGTGATGATTTTGATAATTATCAAGTTATGTCACGTATAGTACGTCGAAAAAATTATTATGCTATTGGTCCATTAGCATTATTTGAATGTGTATCATCAATTGTTGGTTCTCGAATTGATTTATCTTCATGGAAAAAACATATTCAAAAATGTATGGATAATGAAATTATTGAAAATGAACTTAAACATGAAAAAATTGATGTGTCACCATTAACAAATACGCCTAAAACAACTAATCATATAACATTAGGTTTTACAGGATATCCAAATGTTGGTAAATCATCGGTATTAAATAGTATTGTTGGTCATAAAGTTGTTAGTGTATCACGTACACCAGGACATACAAAACATTTTCAAACAATAAATTTAACATCAACTGTACGCTTATGTGATTGTCCCGGTTTAGTTTTTCCTTCATTTGTTGAACGACCATTACAAGTAAATTTTGAAAAAGAAAACAAAAACAAATCAAATTTAATAACTTTAATAAATGTATTTATTTCTTTTTTAGATTCTAGCTGGAATTTATCCAATAGCACAAGTTCAAGAACCTTATACAGCTGTTGGATATCTTGCACAATGGTTACCAATGATAAAAATTCTTAAATTAGAAAGTCTTGAACATGATACACCAAATTATAGTGCAATAGATATTTGCGAAGGTATGCTAATTTTAAAAAACAAAGCGCATAAAATTATTTAGAAGAGATTCTCTGTATTTTTAGCTTGGGCAATAAAACGTGGCTTCTTCACAGCAAAAGCATCACGACCTGATATTTATCGGGCAGCTAATCATATTCTTCGTTTAGCACTTGACGGTCGAATTAATTTATATCTTCGGCCACAAGGTTTTACTGCTGAAAAAGGTATTTTCTATATTTTTGTTTTTGTTTTGTTTATTTCATATTTATTTTATTAAATGATATTTATTAAGAACGATATGCATCAGATCCTCGAGCTATTGAACTTGAACATCAAATTCAATTAGCTGTTGATAAACAAAAACGTCCTGATAGTAGTGTATCTGGTGGTGATGATAGTGAAGCATTTCCAACAAGTGATGATCATCAATTAGCATCATGCAGTGCATCAACAAGTGATCATGGTGCTGATATTGTTGAAGATGTAAATCGTTTTACTGCTTTCAGTCATGATAATGATGAAAAAGAACACTTAAAACAAGTAAAAAATACACGACGAAGAGCAAGACGAAAATCTAGCAATAGCAATCAACGTAATGATGATGACGAAGAAGAAGGAGAAGTTGATGGATAGTAAATAAATACTTCCGGTGACTTTTGTCTTTCATGAATTGAAAATGTTTGATGTCTTCTCTTTTCTTTTCTTTTCTTTTTTTCTTCAGATTTATCAATACATGATCTGTAAAGATTTGTATAATGTACAAGCGTACATTGTTTATTCACTATCAGTTAAAAGAAATAAGCTTTACACATGATAATATTCAATTCTTTTTTTTTTGCTCGAAATATTTGAAAGAAATTATAAAGATTAATATTCGATGTAAGGAAGTTTTGGTTCTAATTTCAAGAAAGATGACTATTTGTTAAATGGGTCTTTCAAGATTTTTTTGTTTGATGTATTCTAGCATTTCTTGTATTGAATTCATTCTTTTCTTGCGCTATTAAATAAAGTTCAGTTTTGTTCATAAAGGTAATGAGTATATGCATGAAGAAATTTGTTCATTTTATTTTTGATTAAAGTATATATGTATTCTAGAAAAAAAAATTCGTTTTTTTTTCTTGGTATGATATATTCAAGTTCTTATTTCAGGATTCTTTTATACAGAGTATTAGCAAAATACACTCCAATCGTCGTTTTGCTCGAGACACTTACCAGTTGGCAGAGTTTCAAGTTCTAACGACCCAATGTATTCAACTGATCAATGACTCTTGAATTCGGACTCAGTGCATAAGGTAGACTGCAGTGAGATATGAAAAACTTCAAAAGCATAAGTTCCTTAAACTTTCTATCCCGAGTTAAAAGTATTTTACTAGAATTTTAATCTATGACATAGTATATACCAATAAATCTAATGATGATATTTCCGCC